ATATAAATACAATTTTGTCCATGTTACAAACAAATAGAAAACAAATATTCTAGTTCTTCTAGAACTCTGCAAAACGTTATATAATTAAATTTCATTTTTAGATAGCATATGAATGAGTTTGCTTATTTTATTTTATTACTTGAAGATCCTAAATCAAATACAAATTAATAATCATTAAATTATGTTTAACTTATTTATATTTTACTACTAAATAAAAATAGTATATCATAAACAAAATATGTGATATTTTAAAAAAATAATAAATAAATAAAAAAAAAACAAAACAAGTTGATCATCATAAATTATTGAACTCAATGGAATTTTATAATATTTAATTTAATATTAAAAAATTAACACATGTTTATTAGTGCAAGGGTAATATGGTAATGATAAAAATATTTTATGTAACATTATTACCAAACAAATTTAAAACTGTTTCAAGTATAAAATGTGCTTTATACAATGTGTCATCAAACGCATAACTGCGTTTTACTGACAGTAATTTTATGACAGCTCTACTAATAAAAGTGCTTTTGACATTTTAACAGCAATTCCAAACAGACTCTTAGTCCAACACCATATCACTACTCTATTTATTATCTCAGTTCCAATATTGTCCAATTCTAACTTTTTTTTGACAAAACAATGTATTTTCTTCTTCTTTTTTCCATCAATACAATATCGATCTCTTTTTAAAATTTCAAAACTGCCTTTTAAAGCATAATATTAGTGATAAGTTTGGAACAAGATTGAAATTTCAAGATGGACAAAATTATATAAGGGAGGGAGTATGTAATTGTCCGGTTAAAAAATCATCAGATTCAGCCACGTCAAGATTCTTTAAATTTGTATGCCGGGGACCACTAACCACAAAAGTAAATAAATGAAAAATAAAAATCTTTAAATTTGTATACAGTGGATCACTAGCCATAAAAGATAAATAAATGAAAATAAAAAGTAGATCCAGTATTAAAAAACAATAATATGATTAAACTTTAAGCTACCACATGCATCTCAACTTCCTAATTAAGATCAACAAAATCTGTTTATATATTGTTTTATTTATTTTTTGTTAAAATATTTGTCAGCATCAATATCCAAACAAATATTTTCAATTCCAAATTTAACGGAAATAATGGAGTTTTCTTATTTTTGAACATTGTTTAAGCTGTCCAAGATCTCAGTGCATAGTATATCCAATATCTCAGTTAAAAAAAATACTATTACTTAATAATAAAGTACATGGTGCTTTGCGTAGTGAAGCAATAAACACCTTCCCCAATTTGGATTTACTGATTACAAGTCATTGGATTTGTTTCGCAATTCGGGCGCATATATATCTTCCAAATCTCAAAGTTGACCCAACAGACAAGATTTATTCGATCAAGCATCTACTAAACTAAAGAATCCCAGCGCAGAAATGAATTAAAAAAAAGGGCTATAAATGAGTTAAAAAATGGATAAATGTCCTTGAATCCCGGGGGACCCGGATCAGTGATCCAATCTCCATCCATGCTGTCATATATATATATATATATATGATCCATTTTTTAACTCATTTATAGCCCTTTATATATATATATATATATATATATATATATATATATATTTGTTGTCTTTTGTCCTAATATCACTTTCTGACTTTGCTCTGATGTCACTTTGTTGAAAATGGTGGGCCATGCAAACAAATACAACTTTATATAATTTGGAAGAAAGATGGAGGAAGAAATATATTATTTCACTTATATCCTACTAAAACTGCTAGAGTACATGATTATATAGACATTGAGAACACCTGTCTATGAATTACATATAAATGCCGATAACTCTCATTTCTCCTACTAACATAATCTTCAATAGACATAACTCCCACTAATTCACTAAAATGACCATTACTAGTTGTAACTCTCATGACTCTTGATTTTACACAACCTTAATTCCCACTAAGATAATTTACTAAATTCACATGCATCATAGATATAAAAATATCAAGTTTATTTTTCAACACTTCCCTTTAAGCTTGATTTTGTAACTTGAAAATAAACTTCTTATTAATCTTGGGGGCTTGATCAAAAGTTCGATAGTTGATCTTCAATTCCACCTCCTTTAATAGCTTCAATCTTCTTGGTCATTTTCATTGATGTGTAAGGCTTGCGAAACTTCTTCAAATGTCTGCATAATGCCCTCTTATGATCAACATTTATTTTCTTCACATGGGTGCACCATCCTTTTTCTCTCTCTTAAACTTCTCATGTGCTTCTTTTTTTGGAATAAAAAAATAACTGTATATTCACCCAACCTGTGTCAATTACAAAATTCTCTAAACCATCTTGTAAAAAATAATTCGAAAAATTCTTCTCGCCTTTAACTTTAATTTTATAATTAATTGGAGCAATTTTCTTGAAGAGAAGTTCATCATTCTCCACAAAATAAGTATTATTTGATAAATATGAAGAAATAATAATTTCATCAAATAAGTCAAATATAACTTTTTTCAAGGTGGAATTTGTAACCATACCTGAAAATGTTAACTCACCAACTTAAACTTTTGCCTCTTCTTTAGCACTTTCTTCTTCTAAATCTTTTATTTTCACTTCAGTCTCCTTAACTTTTTCAATCTCTTCTTCAACACATTTCTTTACCTCTTCCTTATTTACCATTTTAAGTTTTCCTTTCATTTTTTAATCTTCAAAACGTTCAACTTCATTTGCATGGTATTCCTCTTCATTCTCCACAAATTTCTCCTCAAGACTTTCATAATCAATCTTTGTAAACTCATCATCCTCAAAGCATTGTACTCAATACTTTATATGTAGTGATTCACCTCTATGATTGGAAGTGATGGTCTCGAGCATCTTCCAAACACAACTTGGAGTTTTGGACTCTCCAAAATACTCCCAAATTTCTTGATGTATTGCCTTTTGCAACACTACAAACGCCTTCTTTTCTTTCTTTTCAAAAAGCTTGTTTGATATGCCATTCTTTGGCTCTTGTCCAACAACATCCCACAAATCACATGCTTTGAGGTATGAAGTCTTGATGATTCTCATTCTTTTGTAATTAAAGAACATCATCTTCTCACTAAGAAAATATATTTTCCCCTCTTCATCGTCATCAAGGAGAAACAAGTTTTTCTCAAAATGTTGAACCTTCTAGGATCAACTTCGCCAAACCTTCAAGATCGTCTAGGCTCTAAACATGAAACCGGGCATTGATCATGTAACCTGGCTCTGATACCACTTTGTTGGCTTTTGTTCTAATATCACTTTCTGACTTTGCTCTGATGCCACTTTGTTGGAAATGGTGGACTATACAAACAAATACAACTTTATATAATTTGGAAGAGAGATGGAGGAAGAAATATATTATTTCACTTATATCTTAATAAAATTATTAGAATACATGATTATATAAACCTTGAGTACATGATTATATAGACCTTAAGAACATCTATCTATGAATTACATATAAATGCCGATAACTCTCATTTCTCCCATTAACATAATCTTCAATAGGCATAACTCCCACTAACCCACTAAAATAACCATTACTAGTTGTAACTCTCATGACTCTTGATTTTACATAACCTTAACTCCCACTAAAACAATTTACTAAATTCACACATGCATCATAGATATAAAAATACTTGAAAAAACTAAATATTAAAAAGTTTATTTTTCAACAATATTTATATATATTATGATTATAGTGAAATTATACTACAAAACTCACTATATAATGAACACTTGAGTAAGTAAACTAATGCAAGTATTTAGCTAGTTCCTGAGAAAGAGAGTAATAGAACAATTAAATGGGAGGTCCATGTCATGTTAAAACTTTGTGTGTCCATTTTTTTGGTTGGTGTTGCGGGAGTGTTTGTGCCGGTGTATAGCACCCACAAAAGTAAATAAATAAAATAAATGAAAAATACAAATCTTTAAATTTGTTTACAGTGGGTCACTAACCATAAAAGATAAATTAATGAAAAATAAAAAAGTAGAGCATTAAAAAAGAACAACAATATGATTAAACTTTTAAGATACCACATGCATTTCAAGTTCTCGACTTTCTAAGGTTAACATGATCTCTCTCTCTCTCTCTCTCTCATTGTTAAAGTATTTGTCCACATCAATAGCAAAACAAATATTTTCAATTCCGAATTTAGCGGTAATAATGGTTCGAGGGTACATATTCTTATTTTTGAACATTATTTTACATGTTTTAGCTGTCCAATATTTTAAATTTATCCTTCGTTATAATTCAATATCTTGGTGCATAATTTTATCCAATATCTCAGCCATTTTTTAACCTGATTTTTGCTGTAACACCCTGGTCTGAGAATGATAATAAAATGACCAAGAATGAATACCATATAGTTAATATTCCAAATCTAACAGTTCAAAGTTCTCAAAGTGAATTTCCGAAACACTTCCATAAAGCTCTGGTTAGTTAGATGTGTGATGAAAAGAAAATAAATTTTTTATCTTGTGTTTGATTAGCATGAAAACTTTTCAAAAAAATTATACAAAATTACTAATATCTTATAATTTGAACAATGTGAAATTTACTTATAAAAAAAAGATTTCTTGTAGAAACATTGTATGAAAAAGTTAGGTGATTATGCAAAATAATTATCTTTTTTCCTGTTAACCAAACTTGTTTTAAAAAATTTCATTGTTTTTTTAACGGAACCTAATTCTCCCTAATCACATGATCAATTCAACTCCATTACTTAACTCTTCTCTCCATTTTTTTTTTTGGGGTAAGTAAGAGCTACCCTCATTTGTCAATATTGAAATGCCTTTAAAGAACTAGGGGATCATTAATAAAATCATCATCCGTGTCGTCATATATATTTATATCTATTATGATTAATAGGGAAATTATACTACAAAACTCAGTATATAATGAGCACTTGAGTGAGTAAACTAAGTACACACACCAAGAATTAATACATTATTAGATAGTGTGTGAGGATTAAGAGTGATAGAACAATGGACATGGAGGTCCATGTTATGTTAAAATTTTGTGTGTCCATTTTTTTGGTTGGTGTTGTGGGAGTGTTTGTGCTTGTGTATAAGGCTCTGGTGATGGAGCCGGAGAGGGTTCGATCCATTTTGAGACAGCAGGGAATAGGTGGACCGCCACAAACTTTACTTCTTGGTAATTCCTTGGAGTTCAGAAAGCGGCAATCCCCGACTGCAGCCAAGTCGACCAGTGAAACCACACTCGACCACAATTGGATTGCCAGTGTCTTTCCCTTTTTCGAGAAGTGGAGAAAGCAATATGGTACATACATATATGTATATGTATATGTATATATATATTTCAATTAGTATCTATTTATATATATACATGTTAGCATATGTTTGAGTTACAAAAGTGTAGATATATAAATGATTGCTAATATATATGATGTGTGTGTGTATATATATATATCTCCATTAATTGTAGGTAACTTGTTCGTATTTTCACTTGGTAGCACACAAATATTATATGTGAACCAAGCTGATTTGGTGAAAGAGATAACTACCTACACATCTTTCGACTTGGGGAAGCCTACATATCACAGCAAAGAGTTCGGTCCATTGTTTGGTGACGGCATTCTAGCTTCAAATGGACCAACCTGGGCTCATCGCCGGAAAATCCTTGCTCCCGAATTATACATGGACAAGGTCAAGGTACGAATCTACTAATTTTGAACTAATTAGTAGGTTTTGCTACTAGGTTTGTTTGACAAAATTAAGTATCAACATACATGTGTAATTAATTTATTAAATCTTACAGGGAATGATAAACCTAATCTTGGAATCCACTGATATACTAATTGATGCGTGGAAGAGTATAATTGATCAGAGTGAGGGTGGAACATCGGACATACATATAGACGAGTTTATGAGAAGTTTCTCCGGAAATGTAATCTCCAGAGCTTGTTTTGGAAGCAATTACCTCAAGGGGAAAGAGATTTTCGTTAGGCTTGAAACTCTCCAAGAAGCTATCTCAAAAAAAATTATGTCTATCGGGGTGCCTGGTTCAAGGTAAGCCTTCGTCTTCTCCAACCAAACATTTGAGCTAGATGAGAATTATTTATTTATTTATTTAGAAGTGATTTAAGAGATCAAAGAGTTAAAAGATATTTCAATAAAAACAAGAATCATAATAACCAGTCTGGAAGTCGGATGCAATTGATTATTTTATGTAAGTCGAGATAATATCATTAAATATAATGATTATTTAGTCTAATAATTGTCTGACCATTTCGCGTTAACTTCTTCAAATGGGGCATATTACACTTGACGTGAAATCAGCGAGCGTTAATGCCACTGGTGCCGGTTCAAGGCTCATAACCACCACTTTGGAAACTATTTATGTAGCATGGACACGGACATAATACGACACGAATACATCGATACGTCAAATTTTTAAAAAAGCAGAATACGTTTACGGCATGAACACAACTACATATAAATATAAATTTTTATTTTTATACATTTATTTAGTAATAGTATTATAAAACTTTAATTCATTTATAATTTCTATACTAAGAGTTGCTATAAAATGAATTAGAAAATGATATTATGTCATTATTGTAATAATTTATATATTATATATACCATTATTTCACTACTTTGTTGTGATAGTATTTATATTATTTTCAAGATTACTAGGTAAACTTGTGTTAGAAATGTTTAAGAAGTGTTATGAAAGTGTCGACGAAGTGTCTAACAGTACCAGACTCCTACTTCCTAAATGGAGGTCTTTGAGCCTCAGTGGAAGTATGTGTGTGTGAGTATCCAACTAAGAAAAAAAAAAAAGTGTGGGGAAGTGTCCGAAAAGTGTTTGCGAAGTGTTTGAAATAATAAAATTAATTTTTATTTATGAACACGTATATGAAGTGTCGGACACGTATTCGAGGAGTGTCCAAGAAATGTCGGTGTCCGACATAAATACAACAAGGGTACGGCTCTTTCGTAAAAGTATCCGTACTTCCTAAGAAGCTACAAAAAGTTTCCTCTTAGAATTTTCCCATGGCCGAATCAGATAATGTCTGATCCTTCAGATAATGTCTGATCCTTTATATAGGACATAAACACCTACTTAATATAAAAAAATAAAAAATAAAAACCCCCGTCCCATATTAGTAATTCAGTATTTCTTTTTTTAAGGTGTTTCAAATTAGTTGTCTCATTTGATATGTCAAAACAAAAATATATTAATTTTTCATAATTACCTTTTTAAAATTTCAAGAATTCCAATCCACTTTGTAAGCACACGTTTAAATTTATAAGGATAATGTGGTAATTTTAAAATGGGATAATACGAAGGTACAACATTGTGATGACAGGTTACTTTACAAGTCAAATAGTGTTCTTATTCTACTTCAGCGAGTGATATTTGGCTACATTTTTATTGACATGTCCTTTACAAAGTCATAATAATATCAAAAGTGAATTACTAATGTGGGACATAAGAAGTACGGAGTATTAATTATGATTTAAAATGGGGGAGTTAATTAATTAATTAATTATATGATTCTAGCTATATTATATATTTCAGATATTTTCCTACTAAAGCCAATAGGGAAGTATGGGCATTAGAAAAGGAGATCCATGTATTGATCCTAAAGGTGGTGAAGGAGAGAAAGGAAAGTGGGTATGAGAAGGACCTGTTGCAAATGGTGCTTGAAGGTGCTGAAAATAGCGAGCTTAGCCAAGATGAAATGGACCAATTCATAGTCGATAACTGCAAAAACATCTACTTGGCCGCGAATGACGCTGTTGCAGTTGGTGCTTCATGGTGCCTCATGTTATTGGCTTCAAACACAGAATGGCAAACTCGTGTACGTTGCGAAGTTCTTCAAGTTTGTGGAGGCCAAATTCCAAATATGGATATGCTTCCCAAAATGAAACAGGTATAAGTAACCAAATGGGCAATAGCATAGCTAACAGCTGGTACATGCCCTCCTCCTCAAATGGGAGATCGGGTATTCCAGCCTCAGTAGAGGCATCAGTGTGTGTATACGTATATGTACATATGATGTCGACTATAACAATTAGAAGGAAAAAAAAAGAAGTATATCACTAAGTGCAAATTCTAATTTTGTTACGCAGCTAACAATGGTGATTCAAGAAACGTTGCGCCTGTATCCGGCTGCACCAACACTTTCTAGGGAGGCCATGAAGGACATAAAGATTGGAGGCATTAACATACCAAAGGGTGTCAACCTCTGGACCATGGTGGGCACGGTGCACACTGACCCTGAAATATGGGGACCAGATGTGCTCCACTTCAATCCTGAGAGGTTTGCGAATGGGATCTCCGGTGCTTGCAAGATTCCACACTCATACTTGCCGTTTGGATTTGGGCCACGACTGTGTGTTGGACAAAACTTGGCCATGGCTGAACTTAAGATACTGGTTGCTCTAATTCTCTCCAACTTTTCTATATCTCTCTCTCCCAAGTATGTGCACTCACCGGTTCAAATGTTGGTCATAAAACCTGAATATGGGGTTGATCTCTTGGTGAAGAAGGTTTGAACTGTGCTTTTAGAATTAATAAGGAGTTGTAGTTTGGGAGAATAAAGGTATAATTTGTTTGTATTAAGGTTCTTAAATTACATCTTAAGTAAGTGTTGTTCCCTATAAAATGGTTGGTTTAGTTTGTATGCAATCATATATGCATGTATTCATGGGTTCTGATTAATTTAGTCTTGGTTTATTGTACAATTATAATTAATTGTGTCTCTATAATAGTTAATTAATTAAATTTAAGTATTCAACTGCTCCCTGATAAGTACTAATCAGTATTCTCACTTTAAATAGTAACTTTTATGCTATGTTTGGTGTGCAGGAATAGAATGGAATGGAATGCTCATTTCAACCATTCGTTTGTTTGGTATACAGGAATGGAATGGAATGAAATGGAATGCCATTCTAACCATTCGTTTGTTTAGTATGCAGGAATGGAATGAAAATCCATTCCATTACTAACCTATGGAATGGTCATTCCATTCCATTGTAAGATTAAATATTTTTGTAGTATTTCCAATAAGCCCTTCATCACATTCCAATAAGGCAACAATATTTTGAATAGACCAAAAATCTTTCACATTCTATTTTTCACGTTTCTCGAGCTTCTTTATTAAACGTGGTAAAGGTTTTTCACCTTCCCTCTCTTCTGAATATACCCAGAACTGCCATTGACAAAAAGTTACAGGACCTTCAACCATATTATATATATATATATATATATATATATATATATATATATATATTAGCATTTACATCAGCTTCTTAAGTTAAGTATTCAATTCGTTTTTGGATAAAATTGTATTGACAAAATATTAATTAGATTAAATTCTTGAACCCTGATAGATACCAATCATATATATATTAATGTCAAAGACATTATATGACTACATGTCCACCACCATCCCAACCCTCTCAACCACCTTCATCACCACCACCATTCCTAATCAACAGTGTTAATTGGCTCTATAGATAGCTTAACCCCTCCATCACAGTTTTCTTGTCACTTGAATAGTCCACATTTTCCTCCCATCTTCTAATAAGCAATCACCTGCGAATAGTCTTAGTTCCATCCATGAAGGAGCTGAGGAAGGTGAGTGGAATGCTGCAGCTGAGGATGCCAAAGCAGTGGCTGAGGCAAAGCTAATGTTAGAACAAGCTCCTACTAAATCACTTGCTAATGTAAGAACTGAACTTGCTCTTGCCAAAGAGAAGATTGCTGAGTTGGAGAGAGCCCTTAACCTCAAGGCTGAGACCCAAAGAGGGAAACAACCACTTGTCACTGTGAATGAAATGGCTACAGACCCTCTGCTTGCTTCACATCTTCCAGATGACAATAGTAGTTTGCCTTCAAACTTGGCCTCCTCAAGTAGGGGTAGAGGTAAAGGTTCATATGGAAGAGGTAGAGATGGAGGAAGGAGATCTAACACCATTGTCTCTCAACACCAGCACCAAAGGAGTGCCCACGCGCTACCTCTAAAGATGAGTAATGCTGCAGCCCCAGAGTCAAACTTTGGACTTGATGCTCCAGCCCAAGCTGTCCCTTCACAAAGTGACTTTCCCCCATTCCACCAGAATGAAAATATTGGTTCTCCTATAGGCTATCCACATGGTCTGCACACTGCTCAATAACCTATTTTTGGACCTGTTTCTGGACCTGTTGATCCTTGAGACAACCAAACCAGCTGGTCAAAAGTGGCTGCCACAGGTAATGGTTCTTTTGCTGACAACTGTAAGATGAAGTTTGAATTTGTCCCTCCTAATGTCAGTGAAGGATCACCCATTGTTATTGATCTTCCTGCTAATCTAGCTAAAGAAGGAGTTCAAGAATGGAATGCCAGTTTAGTAGGCTATTTTTTGCAGAAAAAAACTCCCATACTCATTAGTCCTTAAACAAGCCCAGAAACTTTGGGGTTCAATGGGTTTTGATGAGCTGCGTGGAGATGATAGAGGTTTTTACATTTTCAAATTTTCAAATGAAGATGAATGTAAAAAGGTCCTTGTTAATGGGCCATGGATGATTATCGGCAGACCAATCATTCTAAAAAAATAGGAGAAAGGCATGGAGTTCAACAAGGAAACCTGTAGTACCATACCTTTATGGGTCAAGTTTTTCAGCATTCCATATGAGTACTGGACTGCTAAAGGCCTAAGTTATATCACCAGTGCTGTGGGGAAGCCCTTATTTGCAGATGAACAGACTGAATCTATGACAAGAATAAGCTATGCAAGGGTTTGTATAGAAGTTAATGCTACTAAGCCTATTGTGGAAGATTTTTAAATCAGAATTGAGGATGGTAAACTTATCACCATTGATATTGAGTACCGGTGGATACCTCATGTTTGTGATGTTTGTAAGTGTTTCGGGTATTCCACTTCAAACTGCAAGTCCAATGTTGCTGCTAGGGACCCTAACCCCTTACCTACTAGTGTTACCCTTCCTGTGAGTGCTCCTGGTGGTGCTACCTCTGAATAGAAGATGGTTCAGAAGAACAAGAAGGTTGACCCATCTACCAATGTTGAGCTCCTTGACCCTGGCACCAGCACAGAAACTTGCTCAAAGATTATGCAACCCTCCAATGATTGTGTTAATCCTCCACCTTCCTTGTTGGCTGCTAACCAATTCTCCTCCTTGAATTCTGATATTGAACCTCCCCCTACAGGTTGTACTCCCCTAATGGTGCCTGAAAGTGAACCTAGTTGCTATAATCAAGACTAAGAGACTTCTTTTCATGGTGATGATGTTACTTCTAGTACTGAAGAGGCTGAATCATCTCACACTTCTAGTGATACTGCAATGACCTCTGCAAACTAGGATAGTAAGGCTGTTACAAATAATGAAAAATGCAAGGAGGTTGAGATGGAGAAAAAGAAGAAGAAGAAGAAGAAGAAGAAGAAGAAGAAGAAGGGTAATATTACCCAGGAAATGCCTATTCTAGGCTTTCCAGGCCTAGTACTTCAATCCTCCCAATGATCAGTACAGCAGCTTGGAACATCAGGGGTCTCAATTCCCCTGAAAAACAAAGAGAAATAAGGAAGCTTATTTATGAATTTAAGCTCCAGTTAATTGCTATTGTGGAACACAAAGTCCAAGAAGGAAATGCAACTTCTGTGCTGAAGAACATTGCCACTTCTTGGCAGTTACTCCACAACTATAGCCATTCCTCTCTTGGGAGGATATGGATTTTGTTTGATCCGCGGCTCATCAAAGTCCAGAAATTAAGTGATAGTGCTTAGGCTATCCATTGCTCTATCACTATTGATAGTGATCATACTAATTTTAGCTTTTCTATCATTTATGCTTACAATAATGCAGACTACAGGAAAGAATTGTGGAAAGATATATGTCGACTTGCTGTAGCTACCCCACAGACTCCATGGCTTCTTTTGGGAGATTTTAATGTCATCAGGCACCCTTCAGAGTGTTTTGGTGGATCTCAGAGATGGATTCCAACTATTGATGAATTTAATAAGTGTATTCACACTTATGAACTTTGTGATCTGAGGTATTGTGGAACCTTTTTTACATGAACTAACAAAAGCCCAGGTGTAGCCAATATATCAAAAAAGCTTGATAGAGTTTTGGCAAATGACAAATGGCTTACTACTTTCCTTATTTCTGAGTGTGAATTTTTACCCCATGGAGTCTCAGACCACTCTCCAATGGTTGTTAAAGTTGGTAATCCTAATCCAAGAAGAAATAGTCCCTTCAGGTTTTTTAATTTCCTTGGGAACCATAGGGATTTCTTGTCCACTGTCACCAATGTGTGGGATGTTAGGGTGGATGGGAACTCTATGTTCCAAGTGACCAGGAAGCTCAAGTCTTTGAAGCAGCATCTTAAGCTTTTAAATACAAAAGAGTTTCGTGAGATCTCCTTAAGAGTTATTGCAGCTAAGGATGACCTGAACCTTTATCAAAAATCTCTTGACTCTAGACCCTCTAATGAACAGCTGAGGACTAAAGAGAGAAAGCTTCTTTAGGTTTACACTGATCTTGCAGCTGCTGAGGAAATGTTCTTTATTCAGAAGTCCAAAATTAATTAGCTCAAGGAAGGGGATGGCAACACAAGCTTCTTTATGAAAGCTTTCAACAATAGGTGTAACAGGAAAAAAATTATTTCTCTCCAACTTGCTGATGGTACTACCACAAGCAACAACCATATGATAAAGCAAGAAGCTCTCAACTACTACAGAACCATTTTTAGTGGGGGAACTAATAATTACTCTGGCATTGATGCTCTTAGATCAGTTTACCAAAAAACTATTCCTGAAAGTTTTGTTGTTTCTCTTTGTTCCATCCCGTCTAATGAGGACATTATGAAGTGTTTTTTCTCCCTCAAGAATAACAAATCACCAGGGCCAGATGGATATAATGTCTGTTTCTATAAAAAAAGCTTGGTCTGTTATTAGTAATGATGTAACCAAGGCTGTGAAGGATTTCTTCTCTACTGGTCTCTTACTCAGGGAGATAAATGCAACTTACCTAGCTCTCATTCCCAAAGTACAAAATCCTAATTGTATGAAGGACTTCAGGCCCATTACTTGTTGCAATACTATCTACAAGGTTATCTCAAAGTTATTGGCTAACAAACTCAAACCTGTTCTTCCTTGTTTTATGGACAAAGGCTAAACTGCGTTCATCAAGGATAGAAGACTTGGGGACAGTGTGTTGCTGGCTCAAGAATTGATAAAGGGTTACCACTCTAGCTCCAATAATCCTATATGCACTCTCAAAGTTGACCTGCAGAAAGCTTATGATACTGTTAACTGGTGCTTCTTGCTGGATACTCTTTAGATCCTTAATTTCCCATCTATCTTTGTTAATTGGATCAAGGCTTATATTACCAATCCAGGGTTTTCAATCTCTATCAATGGTGAGCTCCATGGTTTTTTCAAAGGCACCAGAGGGTTGAGGCAAGGGGACCCTCTATCCCCTTTCCTCTTTATTATTGTGATGGATGTCCTTTCCTCTATTACCCAACAGGCTATTTGCAATGATCCTAACTTCA